TGAAATATAACCAAAATCGATTTTAGAACACTTACCTCAATCCATATGGTAAAAATCACCTCAAATATTGTACTAATCCGAGCTCTCCAACTCAAAATATGATCAAATGAACAAACCTTCCATATTAAGTAATTTTCCCCAGCCGTTCTGCCTCGTTTTACGTGTCAAACAATCTCGAAACTTGCTTTTGATGCCTCCAATGGATTTCTTGTGAAATTTTAATCAAGATAGGCTTTTAAATCACTCCATTTGACCTTATAATGAAAGAGATATGTTGGTTCCAATATTTGAAAATAGTGCATATTTTTAAATACGAAGCAGTGACAATTTCGTAATTAATCTAAAAAAATCTGGCAACCCGTTTCTTAGTAAAATGATCTTAAAATCTTCATACGATGTCCAAATTCGACGATTCTTTTTGTTATGCCTCCGTAATTACGATACGGATCTAATGCTTCAACCAAAAACTGAAATTGGAGCTCATTTGCTTAATTTGGTACCATTAATGCTTGAAAAAACGACGTCGAAACATAAGAAAAACGAGCGCAACACAGCCCAAACCTATCTGAAACTCACCTGAGCCCATCTGGACTCCGTACGAATATACCAACAAGTACTATAATATAATACGGACCTACTCAAAACCTCAAATCACGTATAACAACATCGAAACGACGAAATAAATCTTAACTCAAACTTAATGAACTTTCGAACTTTCGACTTCCAGAACTCGCGCCGAAACATATCAAATCAACTCGGAATGAACTCAATTTTTGCACACAAGTCCTAATGCATCATACGGAGCTACTCGTGCTCCCAAACTACCGAGCAAAGTGCAATTGCTCAAAATGAGCGGTCGGGTCGTTATAGGGGGCATAACCCCAAATGTTTGAGGCGCGTTTTTGTAGTGAGGTGTAAGCCCCAAAGACTTTTTCAAATAAAAAAAAAATTTATTGAATAAGTCTTTCATATAATACCCAAATTCTCAAAAATGAGCTTGTAATTACTCAAAAGTTTTAAAAAGAAATTGAAATGTATTAAATTTAAAAGTCAAGACCTCTTTTTATTGATTGTAGCCTAATTTATGGTGTTTCCCAATTCTTTATCTTGTCCGCTAGTATGCTAATATCTCCCAAAAGTAACGAATATTCAATTTTCTTTCTTTACAAATACAAAGAGAACTACATTCTTCTTCCTAACATCAAGTTCAAACTTCNTCACATATTTATAGTTTTCTTCAATTTTACCTGTTTATATATATATTTACTGTAATTATATTATTTTATAAAATATTCAAAATTAAATACATATGGAGCTTACGCTCAGTGCCTCGGGGCTTACGCATCGCTAAGGCATATGTAAAACGCTTCGCTTTACTCCCACGCCTTTTAAAACACTCGTACTAGCTAGTTGTAGTAGTCCATAAAACATACTTATAGTGGAGTACTATTTTTGTTTTTCAAAACACTAGCTTTTTGGTATGTGCGTTGCGCGTGTACCCCATCTCAATGAGTATAATTTATTTTTCTTTACATCAGAGTCTCGCTTCAAAATTCTTCGTTCGTGCGAAGACTCTATGCGTATCCACACCAGACCGATCCTTTCTATCTATTTTTTGGTCAATAAAAACTGCAAACAAATTGAATATCTTTTTACCCTTTAAACATAGAGTTCACACTAAACAAAAAAGTTATTTAATTATTTACCTAATATTTAAAATTTTAAAATATACTATAACTTTATTATTATTATTATTAAATTTTTCCTTATTTGAACTTTATAAAAAGTCCTAACATTTAAGACTTTAAATTCAAGTAAAATTTGCTTCCACAAATTATTTACTTTTTAAATTAATGAGCTTTACAGCTTGTTTGGATGGTTGTTACGTATCGTTTCATAATGTATCGTATCGTATTGTATTGTATTGTACTGTATCGTTTGATGAATACAATATTTGGATGGATTGTGGCATTTTATCGTCGTTTCATGGTATCACACACCATTAATATGATGAATAAACTTGCAATATTATAAAGAAAAATTATGATACGGTATATAAAAAGGTAGGGTAAATGATAAAATAAAATTACTGAATACTAATGAAGGATGAGATTGAGAGAAAACCCCAAGGAAACGACGCGATCACACCAAATCGATTGTTATATAAAGTGGCACATGTCATCGTTACGTAACGACGGATTTAACGATACGATACAATAAAATTTAAGTAACAATCAAAATAAATATTGTATTTAAAGTAACTATACGATATGACACAATAGTAACAATCATCCAAACAAACTATTAATTTACACGTTACTCTAAATTTTGAGAATATTGCTTCCTTGTTAGTATTTGTTTATTTTTTATTTTGTGACAGTTAGAATGGTTGTTTTCTATTAGATAATTATTCTTAAATATGATAAAACAAATTAAACGACTATTTTGTGTAGTATGAAATCTATTTTTAAAGCATAAAAAGACAAATGACATTTAATTAAAGGTTTTTGTGTTTTTAATATAGTATAGAGTAAAAATAAATATAGATATAAATTATTAAAATTGACGGCAAATAAGAGAAGTTGAATCGGCAGAGAGGGCGACCTACTTGGATACCTTTATATTTTATTCTTATAATGTGTAATTGACGTGTTCTTTCTAATTTAAGAATTCCTAAACATACCGAAGATCTGAAGAAATATTCGTTTTCAAATGAAGAAATTACAATGTTAGATCTTGACTCAGACTCATTTACTTGTCTGTTTGAAGGGATAACATTTATATTTTGATTCTAATAAGGAAATATGACCGAAATCTAGTGTCATTTCTTTAAAGCAATGCTCTTGTACCTAGTTCAAATAAGGAAAACTTTAATGATTTTTTAATTTGATTTTAAGGTCCTAAATATTAGGTAAATAATTTTAATTACAATTTTGTCTAATGTGAAAGTTACTTTCAAAGGGTAAAAAAAACGAACAACATTTCGTTAAGCGCCTTCGTGTTTTTAATATAGTATATAGATAGATAGATAGATAGATAAATAAATAGATAAGCTAAAACAGTTTTTCGAGAACAACCTACCAAAGGATGACGTTTTTAAAGAAACAAATAAGAAAAAATATATATGGCTTTTGATCTTTTTTTAAAAGGGTTTTATTATTTATTTATTGTGAAATTTTAGGTATGCCAAAATACATTTGGTAGGAAATGAAGATGTTTTGACGATCTTATCCTTTTAAAAATTTTATTTTTACTGTTTACTTAACTGGTTATAGTTTAAAATGTGGTAATGACAAGCTTAAGTTTTTTTAATTTGCTGATGTGACAAGATGTATCAGTTTTCGATGTCGAATATTTGAATATTAACACATAGGGTGTGTTTGGTACTAAGGAAAAAAATATTTTTCAATTTTTTCATGTTTGATTGACTTAAATGTTTTGGAAAATATTTTTCTTTANATTATCTTTTTTTTTTTTCAATTTCAAATTCTGTTTTTTCGTTTTTCTGCACCATCCACCCGCACAAAAAAGAAATATTGTAATTTAAATTTCTTTTTTTTGTTTTACTGCACCCCCCCTCTCCGGAAAAAATATTTTTTAAATATATTTTTTAGTTTTAATTTTTTTATTTATCGGTTTAAATGTTCAAAATTTTACAAGTTCCAAAATTATGAGTTTGGAAGTTTTTGGGTTTAGAAATTATAAAGTTTACGGGTTCGAAATTCTGCGTTTTTGAAAGTTTAGCAGTTCGAAAGTTTATAAAATTTGTGGGTTCGAAAGGTTATTTGTTTGAAAGTTTATGACTTCATGTTTATTATATCTAAATTATTTATGAATACTCACACTTTTCTTAATTTGCGTACCAAATACCGAAAAATGAATAAAATTACTACTTATTTTCCAAGAAAATATTTTCTTGAAAAATATTTTCCACGGAAAACATTTTCCGTTATACCAAACACACCCATAATTGAGTCATTTTAATGATGCAAATTTTTTTTTTTGTCATTGCTAGTACAACAGGTAAAGTTCAACGACTTTAATGAAATAAAATAATATCTTTATTGACTTTACTTACAACAGAAGAAAATGCATGGAGTATAGAGTGGCCACCTCGAGCTCCATCATAATATGTTGGAACTCCATTATAATATGTTGGAGTTCTAATATACTTAAGCTGAAACTCCATTATAATATGCTAGAGTTCCAGTACACTTATGCTGGGGTAGTTTTCGGATTTTGAACAGTGTTTTCGTTCAGATTTATCTTTACATGAAAGTGGCTGAATTTCGATTACTTTTGAAACTGTGGTTATTTTTGAATGATCACTTGTAAATCTGGCTATTTTTGAATTTCTCCCAAACTAATATAGTGAAGAAAAGAAAAGAAGTAAAAATAGCACGGTATAGCCAGTTTTCGGACTGGTCATTCAAAAATAGTCAGCATTTACGAAGTCAATGAAAAATAGCCACTATTTTGCTGCAGTAGAGATCGATCCCGCATAATATACTGGAGTTCGGTGCACCTGTGTGTGAACTCTAGTATGTTATGCTGGGCCGGTATACTTTGCTGACTCCAGTATAATATACTAGAGACTAGAGCAACGGTGCTCCAAACTCCATTATATTATACTAGACAATTATACTTGCTGGAACTCCAGCATATCTAGTGTACTTATGCTGGAACTCCATCATATTATGCTGGAGTTCCAGCATACTTATCCTGGAACTCCAGTATAATATGCTGGAGTTCCAACACTGATATATTTTCCGGCTTTTGAACAGTGCTTTCACTCAGATTTATCTTTACATGAAAAGTGGCTAAATTTCGATTACTTTTGAAACTGAGCTATTTTTGAATGACTAGTTGTAAATTTAGCTATTTTTGAATTTCTGGCACCAAAAAAGATGCTACCCGGCCCAATAACCAGAGGCCCGCCCAACTCATTCCTAACGCTCTTTGCTCAATTGTTCTCCTCTTAAAAGCCATTTTCTGAGATCTGAATCTAAACAATACTAGCAAAGAAGAAGAATTATTCTGTTTGAGAAGAAAAAAGGATATTTGAGAAATGGCAGCAGCAGGACCAGACCCGTTGTTCGGATTGAGGAACAACTTCTACATAGGTGCATACCAAGCCGCAATTAACAACAGTGATGTTCCCAATCTTTCACAGGACGACGCCGTTGAAAGAGACACTCTTGTTTACCGATCTTATATTGCCCTAGGGAGTTACCAGGTTTTGATTATTTGGGATTTGATTGAATTCTTCTGTGATTGTAAATTCTTTTTGTATTTACCAGATATTTTCTTTTTTCTTTTTCTCATTGCAGCTTGTGATCAATGAGATCGATGCATCAGCTCCTACTCCACTTCAGGCTGTCAAATTGCTTGCTTTGTACCTTGCTAGCCCTGATAATAAGGTGAACATTTTTATTCCATTTCCCCCCCTTTTCACTCCAGTGATCTTTTGGTAAAATGCTAGTACTGCGTCTTGTTATCCGTAATTTTGAAGGTGTCCATAATCGTCTAGGTTAACACATAGATCTGACTGAAAATTGAGCCCCAACTAAGAAGGTTTTTTTTGGGGAGGGGGGGGGGGGGGGGGGGATACAGGAGTGGTTTTCCAATTGTTAATTGTGTTTGTCCCTTACATAATTTAATGCCTAGTGGTAATATTTAGCGGTCCAATTTATTATCCTCCTCTTTTACCATCTTTCAGCTAGTTTAATCTCCAGATATTGAGTGTGATCCCAATGTTATTGTTTGGGTAGCTTTGTCAATTTAGTTCTTTGAATCCCTTTTAATTTAATGAAGTAACTAGTTTTTTGTCTGTGTTTCTTAAAAGTACGAGATACCCCTGATTAATGACATATTATGTAACGTATAGTGTTTTGCCTTTTGCTAATTCATGTCCCGTTCCATAAGCTGGAGGGATTTATGCTGGGCATGATTGGTACAACTCAAGTACGTCCATCCATCTATTGTATATGTTGCAATTTAGGAATTTCAGTTCAAGTGACATTACGGGATAAGTTCTCTCTCCTATTTGATCCCTGATAAAATAAAATGAATAATTTATTTGTAACTATCTGAAAGGTTTCGGTAAATGATTTATTATAATCTTCAATTTTCTGCTTTGCAGAAGTGTTATTCCCTATTTGTTATGGACTATAGGGGGGTAATTAGTAATAACTTTCTTCTTTATTTTGTAGGAAACAGCAATTGCTGGTCTTCATGAATTGTTAGGAGACCCAGCCATAGGAAGCAATCCTATATTAAGGCTTATTGCTGGGATTGTGTTCACGCATGAGCAGGATTACAATGAAGCTCTGAAGCACACAAATGCTGGTGGAACAATGGAATTGTGAGTTGCTACTTTTATTTTGTTGTATGATTACTTAGAAGATCACTATGCTAAAATGTAGAAAACATTGAGGAATTTGCTTTGTGATGGATTGATTGCTTTATTTTCTGTGACTATTGGCATTGTACTAATTATACTATGGTGCTTCATGCTTGTGTGCGTCTAAATACAGTTCTATTCTTTTAAATGACTTACTATTTTTCCTTAGCAAAGGACTAGTGCTATTCAAAAAATCTGTGTCAGGAACTCTGTGAGCTCTCATTCTGAGACAAAAGACGTGTATGTGAGATGTGATAGAGACAATGGTCGTCTACCCGAAAGTATTAAAGAAAGGATATAATAACATAACTTTTTTCCCCGGGGAAGTATAAGTAGAATCCACTAATTATCTTAGTGCAATCCTTTGCAAGTATGAGTTTATGCTGGATCAACTGGCAGCTAATCAATCGCAGAATCTTAGTTGTTCAACTCTAAACCCTCTCTCCAATCCTCCATTTCTCAAGTGGCTCTTTCCAATTTTTTTGTTTGATTATCTACTTCTGTTTGTGCACTTTTTTTACACCATGTTTCACTTTTCAATATCTGTGTCCCTTTTAGTTAATTCTTAATTGCTTTACCAATCACGGTATTGTAATGAATGGAACTTAATCATTTTGAAGTTTGTGGATAGTGATCACATCCTGGAGAGATTTGGCTAAAGAAACTGTAGACTAATACATCTCCATACCTCATCATGGTTGAATTCGAATTAAGCTAGATTAAGAAGCTTCCTTTCAAACTGAGTTATCGTTCCGTTCCTGCTTTACCTGGCTATAGTTTCTAGATATACCTTGTCAGGTTTTTAAGTTATAAAACTGGAAATGTTGTAGTGCTAACGTTTTTGTGTTTCTGCTTTAACTGATTTGAGGTCTGGAATACTTTTGTCTTTTCCGACCATCTACTTTGATGATTGACTGATTGAGTTTATGTATGAGAGTATCTTTCATTTCCCTTACTAAAAGTGTTTATGCAGGCATGCTTTGAACGTCCAGATACTCATTAAGATGCATAGGTCAGATTATGCAGAGAAACAGTTGAGAATCATGCAGCAAGTTGATGAAGATCATACACTAACTCAACTTGCGAATGCATGGTTAAACTTGGCAGTGGTACCTAACAATTCCAATTGTTGGCCGGTTCAAAGACTATTAGTCAAGAATATTCATAAATATATTTTATTTTCAGGGTGGTTCAAAGATACAAGAAGCATATCTTATTTTCCAAGACTTCTCTGAGAAGTATCAGATGACTAGCTTAATCCTGAATGGAAAGGCTGTTTGTTGCATGCACATGGGTAACTTCGATGAAGCTGAGACGCTGTTGCTTGAAGCCTTGAACAAGGTCACTTTGACATTATCATTGTCTTCTATATTTATCAATTAAGCTTTTTATTACTTATAAAAGAATCAATTTATCTGCATATGTCCAAATTCTGTTGATTGTACTGAATGCTTTTGGTAGTTATTCACTAAGCAAAAAATTACTCAGAACGCATTATCTTGGCATTTGCAGCTTTTTTTATGTCTTCTTGTTAAATGCCCACAGTTTTTATGAAAATATTTAAGAATGTGCTCCTCCATTCCTATATCACTTGGAAGCTTATTGATTTATGCAGGACGCAAAGGATCCAGAAACACTGGCTAATCTGATTGTCTGCAGTCTTCACCTTGGAAAACCATCCGCCCGTTATCTCAAGTATGATAATTAATATTATTATCATTTTGCTTAACTTTCTTATGAAAGAATTACATGTTATAATTTGCCAGATTAAGTCATATCATTGATTCACAGCTTTGGAAGTATCTTTGGTTCATAAAAGTTCATGTTAATCTAGGCTGTTAGGCCTCTTCTAGTTCCTTGTTTAGTTTCATTAGCCTCATGAGTTTAGTGAAATTCAGGAGGAACCCCCTATTATACTGAGTGTCAATTTGTTTTCATGGTAGCAAGAAAGGATAACTAATGGACTGCTTTGTGTGACTTGGTTTTGCAGCCAGCTGAAATTATCGCACCCAGACCACACACTTGTCAAGCGTGCCGCATCTGCTGAAGAAAGTTTTGATAGAGCAGTCCAAACTGTCGCTTGAAGAATGGACTTTATGTTAATGTTGTTTCAGTTATGGTCCTTTCTGCTACTGAGGTTGCCGCATGTCGATTTGTTTTCCTACTAAAGTACCAAGTCAACAAGCAATTGTAGAAGCTACAGTATCTTTTTGGTTATTCTCACTGAACAATTTAACGATTGGCATGTCAATCAGTCAATATAAAAAATTTACCTGCAATTTTTTATAGTTTCTTGGCCAATGATTGATAAGACTACGTCCGTGAAGATCGTTTTGTGATAATTATTGTTTGATCTGGCGGGATGTAACTGTTAGTCAATTTTGATGTTCTCATATTTTTTTATAGCTCTAGTTCTTGATATAGCCCTACGCGTGTGGGAGGTAAGAAAAAGAGCAAACTTCATTTGTAGCCATTCGGGGAAAACTAATGACAATAAGTAGCCACAACATAAACCATACAATTAATAGCCCAAAACCAATTACAAGGGCGAGCCCAAAACTACTGTCACTCTTCCCCTTTCAAATTTCAAACTTTTCAATTTCATAACCTACTTTAACCCATACATTTCCCTTACTTTGCTACCTACTTAGAGAAATTCTAAGTAAATTGTTTGGCTTACTTCACAATAATAAGTATACTTGGTTTACTGCAAAAACCGCAAAAATTGAGGGATTTTCCTTCTGTCTACTTCACAATAATTAGTAAAAATTGTGTGCGATAGTCACTTTTTAAAGTGGTATTTACATTTTATGAAAATGCTTAGCAATAGTAGCCACTAGTTTATTAAAATTGATATGAAAAGACTGTGTTACCCTTTTTTCTATCTCTTTCATGTTAGGGAGAAGAACTGTGCCGCCGTTTGTGAGACGGCAACTGCCGTGGACTCCGCCGACGTCTATGATCTTGATTTGTAGACTAACACATATCAGTAACTTATTCTGTTCATCACTATTGCACTCTTTATCATCCTCATCCTTTATATTCCCAAAAACATCATTAGACAAATTATCTTGGGACACTAAATCGTCGTCACTTGTATTTTCATCAGACTAGTAATGAAAAGGTTATATAGATTTGTCTTATCAATGTTGCATCCAAGCCGAATCTGACATCAATCTTATATGTAAATTGCAATTATTATTATTATTATTATTATTATTATTATTATTATTATTACTATTACTATTATTATTATTATTATTTTGTGAAAATATACAAATAACGTTTGGTTTTCTACTACGTTATGGATCATGAACTTACAGTTACAAGTTCAAAAGTTAAGGACAATAGGTCCTAAAGTCCTGAACTTAGACTAACAAGCTCAAAAATTAAGGATAATAGGTCCTGAACTTAGGCTAAGAAGCCCAAAAGTTAAGGACAATAGGTCCTGAACTTAGACTAACAAGCTCAAAAGTTAAGGACAATATGTTTTGAACTTAGACTAACAAGCTCAAAAGTTAAGGACACTTGATCCTGAACTTACAGTTACAAGTTCAAAAGTTAAATACACTTGGTCCTGAACTTATACTACCAAGCTCAAAAGTTAAGGACAATAGGTCCTGAATTTAGACTTACAAGTTCAAAAGTTAATGACATATAGTCCTGAAGTCCTGAACTTAGAGTTGCAAGTTCAAAAGTTAAGGACACTTGGTCCTGAACTTTATGAGCAAAAGGGTGTTTTCGTCCGGGCAAATAAAGTTTATTAAAACGGTGGTTAAAGACTAAAGACATTTTAAATAGTGGCTTAAATATAAATACATGTGTTATTAGTGGCTAACCATGCATTTCTCCGTAATAAGTATACTTGCTCCAAGTCCAACTAACATTCATAAAAGATAGCCAAGTTGGTGGGGTTTTGTTTTATAGACGACTAAACAAATACAATAAAATATTAATATTTTTATGTCCTCCCTACTCAATTTATGTAGTGATAATTAAAAATGGAGGAAGATTTTTGACACATCAATATTATACGTACATATTATATATTGTATATATATGTTATTATAAAATAGCATATTATAATACCAAGTTCCAACAATTAAATGAGTAAGGACTTAGGGTACATGCTAAGAGTTTTGCATGTCTTTTCTTATTTCTCGCCCCTCATGAGAAGATGAACTTTTAAATTATATCATTAATGATAAAATGAGGTTAATAAAATTAAACAGTTTTTCAAACATAACAATCTTTGTACCACATAAAATGGGGATGCATAGGAAGTACAACTAATAATTTCAAAAATATTTTGAAAGAGAACCTGGTTACGTAGGTATGGATTAAGTAGGTGGCAGAGTAAGAGGAATGTATGTATTAAAGTAGGTCACGGATCAATTATGTAATGATTGGTTTTACAAACGTGTAATCATTCAATATACAAAAAAAACTCTCACTATACAAAACAAATATACAAATAGACTGTCACTATACAAAAAATACATAAAATAGACTGTCACTATACAATTTATATACTACATAGGCTGTCACTATATAAAAAGTTACAAAACAAATATCACTATACAAAATATATACAAAAAAGACTGTCACTATACAAAAAATATACAAAACAGATGTCACTATACAAAATATATACAAAAAAGGCTATCACCATACAAAATAGATATAACTATACAAAATAGACTGTCACTATACACTTTGAATATACAAAAGCACTCGGAATACATTAATGATACCTTGGGAATACATTTCAAAATATATGATACACTCTAAATACGGTGTGCACACGTTACACATACAAAATGTGTATATAATTTATATACACTATGTTTACATATTAGACAATACACATGTGTATACAATTTTGATACATTGTTAAGACATATTATACATTCATGATACAAAATACACTGTGGATACAATAAATATACACTTTAGATACACAAGTACACTCGAGATAGGCTCAATATACACTAAGGATACACTATCAAACTTATGATACAATATATATATATATATATATATATATATATATATATAGTATAAATAAATTATATACACATTTTGTACGTGTAATGTGTGCACACCATATTTAGAGTGTATCATGTATTTTGAAAGGTATTCCCAAGGTATCAATAATGTATTCCGAGTACGTTTGTATATTCAAAGTGTATAGTGACAGTCTATTTTGTATAGTTATATCTATTTTGTATAGTGACAGTCTTTTTTGTATATATTTTGTATAGTGACAGTCTTTTTTGTATATATTTTGTATAGTGACAACTATTTTGTATATTTTTTATATAGTGATGGTCTTTTTTGTATATATTTTGTATAGTGACATCTGTTTTGTATATTTTTTATATAGTGATGGTCTTTTTTGTATATATTTTGTATAGTGACATCTGTTTTGTATATTTTTTATATAGTGACAGCCTATTTAGTAAATAAATTATATAGTGACAGTCTATTTTGTGTATTTTTTGTATAGTGACAGTCTATTTGTATATTTGTTTTGTATAGTGAGAGTCTTTTTTGTATATTGAATGACTACACGTTTGTAAAACCAATCATTACATAATTGATCCGTGACCTACTTTAATATATACCTTCCCCTTACTCTGTCACCTACTTAATCCATACCTCCATAACCCGGTTCTCTTTCAAAATATTTTTGAATTATTAGGTGTACTTCCTATGCATCCCCCATTTTATGTGGTACAAAGATTGTCATGTTTGAAAAACTGTTTAATTTTATTAACCTCATTTTATAATTAATGATATAATTTAAAAGTTCATCTTCTTGTGAGGGGCGAGAAACAAGAAAAGACATGCAAAACTCTTAGCAATTACCCCAAGTCCTAACTCATTTAATTGTTGGAACTTGGTATTATAATCTGCTATTTTATAATAACATATATATACAATATATAATATGTATGTATATTATTGATGTGTCAAAAATCTTCCTCTATTTGTAATTATCACCACATAAAATGAGTAGGGAGGACATAAAAATATTAATATTTTATTGTATTTGTTTAGTCGTCTATAAAACAAAACCCCACCAGCTTGGCTATCTTTTATGAATGTTAGTTGGACTTGGAGCAAGTATACTTATTATTGTGAAGTAGACAGAAGAGAGGAAAATCCCTCAATTTTCGCTGTTTTTGCAGTAAACCAAGTATACTTATTATTATTGTGAAGTAAACCAAATAATTTACTTTGAATTTCTCTAAGTAGATGGCAAAGTAAGGGGAAGGTATGGATTAAAGTAGATTGCGGAATTGAAAAGTTTGAAATTTGAAGGGGAAGAGTGAGAGTATATACTTATTATTATTGTGAAGTAAACCAAATAATTTACTTCGAATTTCTCTAAGTAGGTGGCAAAGTAAGGGGAAGGTATGGTTTAAAGTAGGTTACGGAATTGAAAAGTTTGAAATTTGAAGGGAAGAGTGATTGTAATTGGTTTTGGGCTAGCCCTTGTAATTGGTTTTGGGCTATTAATTGTATGGTTTATCTTGTGACTACTTATTGTCATTAGTTTTTCCCGAATGGCTACAAATGAAGTTTGCTCTATAATTATTTGGATTAAACTATCTACTAAAGGGATACCACCAAAATTAAATTGGTTGTTACATAAATGAGTCATTTTATTGTTTATGTAGTGATTATTTAATGATACAATATAATAGAATTTGAGTAATAATCAAAGCAAAAATATTATTGAAAATACAAGTACTATATAATACAATGGATAACACCCATCCGATACAATGTTTTGAGAACATGCTAAAGAAGTTTGTATTAACATAGTTGTTCTTCGTATATAGTATTTCCTACTAAACCAAATGGTCCCTCATGATCAGTTGCTTTTTAGGTGTGATTAGAAATATGAATTTAGCTTGACAATATTTAAGATGCTATATCAAACTTTCAAGACAATTAACTTGAAGATCTGCATACATGGAAATATTTTTTATTGTAATCATAGCTAAGATTCTAATTTAGTTAATTAAATATAAACAACTACCATTAAATTGAAACATGTGTCACCTATTTAAGTAAGAACTCGAGAAATTTAGCAGCTAAATTATTATTTTTCTTTTCAAATATTTTAAATTTCTAAAATAATTATTCCAAAGGGAAATTAGAGAAAAAATAAAGAAGGGAAAGCAAATTTCCATTAGATTCGCTATTTGAAATGAAATCTATAAAGACATCAAATCTACTACTACAAAGATTTATTTTTAGAGATGCAAATCGTAAGTGTATCCCCAGATATTCAAATCAGATTTGAAATATATAGCATGTACATGATTTCAAAAGCTTCTTTTTCAAAATGAAGGTAAAATAAATGACGATATCTAGTTGTGTGATACCAAATCTCAGGTGTAACTCCTCTTCTGGGGATATCATTAATGTACTTTGTCAAATATGGCTAATGAGAAAACATTGTTACGTTTCTTATGCATTTCTATATATATAAATATGAGAGATTAGGCATACTTGTTTGTGTACTATCAGAGGTAAAGCATTCAAGTTTTCATTTTGGGCAAAAAGAAAGGTACTACCATTGCCTGACTAGTTCGTTTTTCGTTTTTGTATATGAATTTCATACTTTTTTCTCTTGTTTTTCCAAAGTCATGTTCGTATTTCATGCATGTTACTTAGCAGGAGAATGAAAATCTGTAGCCATTTCTCTAAATAATAAAGAACAAAAGATTATGGTCAACTTGAAAGAATAGCTGAATAGGAGTCTTGTTTTAAGAAGGTTAGCTATGTGCCATAATGGATGTTGATAGTGTCATGACATTTGCATATATGTAACATGGTAATAAATTGTCACACAAACAAAGTAGTTACTTTTGGGGGTTTTTCACTTTTAGCCCGTGCCAGAAACTTCGGTAGCTGAAAAAGTGTATAAAATTTGTATAATTTTTGTATATTACATACAGAATATATATATATATATATATATATATATATTTTTCGACTATTATTTTGAGAGAGGCTACACAGATCATTTTCCAATACTTTTTATCATATGGAAAATATACAATGGTGAGCTACAATCTATGTTAATGCTCGGACTCTCCGAAAATGTCGATGGATGGGTGTCGGATCTACCAAAAGTATTATATTTTTAGAGGATCCGACATGATTGCAGCAACTAACTGTTTTGGAGAGTCCGTGCAACCTAGGGTTACAATAGATTTTTCAATTATTCAAGCTCTCAAGTCAAGTTGCTTATTTAATAATATTTTGTGACTTTTTAAGTGTTAAGATCAGGAAAAATGTCATCATGCTATGATGTCAATGTGTCGTCTTCAAATAAGAACCTCAACGATGGGAAAAAACTCAAAGCGCTTATAGTAGATGATGATCGTATAGTTCGAATGGTACACAAAGGACTTCTGAAGAAATTTGGTGTGGAAACTCATGAGGCGAAAAATGGCCAAGAAGCTATTCTTGCTCATCGCGCTGGTGCATGCTTTGATCTGATTTTGATGGACTTAGATATGCCAGTGATGAACGGTCGCCAGGTATGCGTTTGTTAAATTCTTTTCTATTAATCGTCATTTGAAGGGAAGCCTTGGAGCAAGTAAAATTGTTTCCATGTGACCTATAAGTCACGAGTTCGAGATGTGGAATCAGCCGCTGATACTTGCATCAAAGCAGGCTGTCCACATCACACCCTCTTGCCTCTTGAGGTGCGGTCTTTCACCAAACCCTATGTAAATGCGAGATGTTTCGTGCACTGGGCCGCCGTTTGCCCTAATTATCATTTATTTTTAGTTTGGACATTAAACTTTATCCTAATTTATGTAAAAAAAAAGTATTTTAATTTTTTTTTAATTATGTAGGCAACTCAAGAACTACGAGATATGGCTGTGGTAAGCTTGATTGTGGGAGTGACTTCTACTGGAGAAGAAGAGAAAGAAGCATTTATGAATGCTGGTCTTGATTATTATTATCAGAAGCCACTTACTGTTGATGTTGTTCGCCTTCTTGTGGAGAAATTTAAAGACGATGCTTAGACCTATCAAAAGCACAAGCTCGATTTGAATATAATATATACATGTCTTAATCTTTAGAAAAAGAATATGGAATAAAGTCGACAAATTAATATTCGCCGGGACTAGTTATAATATTTTCTTGTTATGAGTTTTAAAGTATGTATACCATGCTTAGAAATTATTAATAAATGGTAGAACACACCAATCTTAGATAGCCCCTTAAACTTCGCACGTTTTATAAAATAAGTATATAAACTTATGGGATGACCAGATAGACACTTGAACTCGTCCAAAGTGTAATTTTTAAACACATATATTTGTTAGACTTTGTGCGTGAGGTCCAAACGCCACTTATATGGCAAATGAACGAATAATATGTTAATATGTGTATTTTTTTAATGTAAGCAAATAATAGTCTAAAGCCAAATAAAACCTCTCAAGAATTACATCTAAAAGACCTAATAACATGAGATTATATCCAAAAAACTACCGCAGGTTACATGATAAACATCCAAATTAAGACAAGAATACATAAAACAAAAAGACATTTCTTCACAATCTTTGCTTTAGGCTCTTCCTTTTCATACTCTTTGATTCGATTCAGTAAGCCCCGAATAACCCTCCGAGCTTGGTCAGACATTTGCTCATCGTACCACATAAAGTACTTGCATTCAGCCTATTCACAAAGCAATAGAAGATTAATATCCAAAAACAGAGGGAAAAAAATTGAAACCTAAGGAAAACAAAAAAAACATAAAATCAGTGCTTACTCGTTCATATTTGCATCCATAAAATCTTCGACCAGGATTATTTGGAGACCACGAAGTCTGCAATACTACTTTTTCCCCACAATGACATATTATAGCCCCATTACTTAGTCTCATCATCAACTTGTTTGGAGAAGGGAGATAACGAGTTAGAGAGAAAAGTATATGGAAGCCTTTACTGTGATTTAAGAGAGATGTAGAAGAAAACACATAAATGACCTCACCCATTTTTTGGCTTCAATGATGTTTTCAGCTATGGAGAAGAGGAATATTAGGGGCTGGGGCTTTTATTCATCGTTGGGAAAATGCTTAATACATAGTTTACCACCCAACCTTTGGTACAAATCCCCCTTACACATTTTCTATAGACGATAATAACCTTACACAAGAAACCTTTCTAAAGTGTATCTAGTACCCACCTCCTTTGACCAGATCCTGTTAATAAGACATCCGTGTATGTCACGCATTTACATAATTTTAACCCATTACCTTATAATAACTAACCCGACCCTACCCGACCCTAACTGACCCTACCCGACCCACAAGGTAAAAATGTTAAAACCAAATTTACCCAAGTCAGTACTCAAAATCCGATACATCTAGAAGGAGCTACTGTAAAGGCGATTCCGGCGACCATCTCAAGCTACGCTTTCATGGTGGATTTCCGGTGGACTTATGCAGTTAATAGGTTAGTAATTTTCTTCTCCTTGCATTACCCGTTTATTTTAGTAGTGGGTGAGGTTGAACCTAGGTTTTTTTTTTTTTTGAAATTTCTTCTATTTTGCTTAGGGTTATCGAACTTTTTAAAAGGGAAATCTTTTGTCATTGTCGATATGACTGTGAAGTTGTCGTCTTGTTGCCTTTACAGATAGTTTTTTTATAAAAAAGATTTGTCTTGTGTTTGCAAACCGTGTGTAAAGTTAGGGTTTAACTGATTATTGTAATAGCATTGCTTTGAACAATGTGATATGCTCTTGTCTTTGTCTCCACTTTTATATTTCATTTGTAGTTCTTTATTTTCAATTGTTGCATGTAGAAAGTCCATTTATTTGTCCCTTCTTTGTTTGCAGATAATGTCTTTTAAAATCATTACCCTCAGGTGGTACCATGATGGGGTATTAGTTCCTGGTAACTTTGCTCGTTATGCTGGTGGTAGTCAAACATTAACTTTAGATGTAGATGTGGATTTACTGTCTCTTATGAACTGATGAACTACACTAGGATCTATGACTTTCAAAATATGGCTGAGTTGTGTATTTGTCCAATGGATAGGACAGATAAATTGGTAAATATTCTCACAGACAAGGATATTTTAGACATTTGTAATGAATTGGAAGATGGGGATACCTTAGATATTTATGTGACTCATACTGCCCCTTTATGTGTTGTTGACATAAATGAGGCTAGTAAAGGGGTTGGTGGGTCTAATAGTGGAGCTTTTAAGAGCACAACTGTCTTAGAAGAAGAGGAAGATAGTGAATCTGAATCTGAATCTGCCCCTGCTCATGAACCTACCCCTTCCCCTTCTCCTTCCTCTTCCCCTTCCCCTTCTCCTGAACCTGCTCCTGCCCCTGCACCTTCAAGAGAACAAGAGAGTGGAGTAGATAGTGAATCAGAATTTGATAATAGTGAAGGTGAGGATGACAATGAGAATGATTCAGACTTTGACANATGAGAGTGATGGAGTAGATTTACATGTTCCTGATGATAAGGATTATGGATCTGATGTTCATGAAGAATTTGTAGAGTGTAGGGATGAACTGAGAAAGTATAGGAGGAAAAGGAGTGAAAGGCCAAAAGATAGAGGTGATATTAACATAGGTGATGCAGGAGTTGATATTGGTTTTGATGAATTAAGAACTGGTAGCAAGCAAGATAGGTACACAGGCTTAGTAGGGACAGATGAGCCTTACTTTGGGTCTTCAGATGCTGAAAGTTTTCCTTCAGATGCTGAAGATGAATTTGATGAAGAACATAAGGAGAAAATGGCTGCCAAGAGGAGGAAGAAAGCCCTGATATTTGATCCAACTGTCAAGAAAATAACCTAGGAGTTGGGGTTGATTTTTGAGAGTGTTGAACAATTTAGGTTTGTTGTTAGTAAGTATGCAATTCAGAAAGGAGTTCAAATTGAAAAGTATATTAATGAAACTGGTAGGGTGAGGGTAAGATGCATGCATCCAAAATGTCCATGGATCTTGGCTGCAAGCAAAGATGACAGATCCAACAATTTTAAGGTAAAAAGGTATTGCCCTGTCCACAAGTGTTACAAAACAAATAAAAACAAGCTTTGCAACTCCATATACCTAGCAAAGCATTACAGGGATAAGATTGTGTGTCAACCAAATATGAAAGTTTGGGAGCTAAAGAAACTCATTAAGGATGAACTGGACATATATGTTGGTAGGTCTACTATACATGGAGCTAGAGCAAAAATTCTAAAGGAGATAATAGGTGATGTGCATGCTGAGTTCAAGAGACTCTTTGATTATAGAGATATTCTATTACAGACAATCCAGGTACAACTTGTGTTGTGAAGGTAGAAGATCAAGGTGAAGGCAAGCTTGTCTTCAATTCATTTTNATGTGCATGCTGAGTTCAAGAGACTCTATGATTATAGAGATATTCTATTACAGACAAATCCAGGTACAACTTGTGTTGTGAAGGTAGAAGATCAAGGTGAAGGCAAGCTTGTCTTCAATTCATTTTATGTTTGCTTCTATGCTATGAAAAAAGGATGGCCTGAAGGTTGCAGAAGGATAATTGGCCTTGATGGTTGTTTTCTAAAAGGCATTTGTAAGGGTCAACTTCTTGTAGCAGTATCAAAGGATGGAAATAATCAGATGTTTCCTATAGCTTGGGCCATTGTAGAGGTTGAGAACAGTTTCACTTGGACATGGTTTCTGAAGTGTGTGACTCATGACTTAGAGCTTCAAGATGGAAGGGATCTTACTATCATGTCTGATATGCAAAAGGTGAATATATTCTTCTGTTTCTGTTTTCTGTAAATATTTATTTTTTCTAATTTCTGTTTCTGTTGGCAACTAATTCACTTCTTTTTATGTTTAAGGGATTGCTTAAAGTTGTATCAGAAGTGTTGCCTGAAAGTGAACATAGGTGGTGTGCCAGACATATATTAGCAAACTGGTCCAAAGATTGGAGAGGATTAGAGAGGAGAAACAACTTTTGGAGGTGTGTTAGAGCATCATGTGTAGCAGAACTGAATTTTCACCTGGACAGTTTGAATATGCTTGGGAATGGGATATGTGAGAGCCTCTTGAGGTATAACAAGGAAACATGGTGTAGAGCTACTTCAACTGTGACAGGAAATGTGATATAATTGACAACAATATGTGCGAGACATTTAATGCTTGGATACTTGCTGCTCGGCACAAGACAATTATCACAATGTTAGAGGAAATTAAAGTGAAGATGATGGAGAGAATAGGAAATTTGAGGGAGTTTGCAGATACATGGATATGTGATATAACCCCAATTTCTATGAAGGTGTATCACGATAACATGACCCAATCTATAAGGTGTACAATCAAGTGGAATGGTGAATATGGCTATGAGGTTGAGGATACCTCATTAAGAGTGGTGCTGAAGCATTGTGTGAATATGCAAGCTCAAACTTGTACATGCAGGTCATGGATGCTGAAGGGTATCCCTTGTGCTCATGCCATTGCTGCTATACATTTCAAGAATCTTGACCCAATTAACTACATATCTCACTGGTACCACAAATCCACCTATCTAAAGGCATATTCAACATTCATCCAGCCTGTGTCAAACATGCAGATGTGGCCAATGTGAGCACGTGATTTTTGCTTCACGAAAACTACTCCAAAAGAAATCGAAAAATAAAACAAATGTCATTTGGGTACAAGTTTAAGAATTTCGCGTGACATTTTTCATAATTATTTTGTCTGTGAGTGTTTATTTTGTTTAATTACTTAAAAAATACAAAAATATGTGTTTCATGTGCATTTAGGATTTAATTTTACAATTTAGGAATTAATTAAACAATCAAGTTTGTTTTACAAAATGGAAAAAAAATCACAAAATATGTACTTTGCATTTTAGTATTTAATGTCCAAATTGTGTGATTTTATCTTTATTGGTGTTTAATTTCGTGTGATAATTATTATTAAGAGCTAATATTTTAAGTTAATTGTCGATTTTATAATTTAATTTAGGATTTTTTTAGGTTTTTAATTTTGAAAAAATTAGTTTAAAGAAGTAAAAGAAAGTAAGAACAAAAATAGCAATGAAATCGGACTGGGCCATCCCTTAATTTGAACCAATCAGGCCCAAACTCTCACACACCTCACACGCCCAATCCAGGCCCAAACCGGCCGGTCCCAGATATATCTAAACGATGTCGTATCTGGATAATAGATCCAAGCCGTTGATACGACTTGATCCAACGGAGATCACCCCATCCTCACCCGGTCTAGCCCGACCCACTTTACATTCAAACCGACCCAACCCCCGCCTAAAAGAAACGGTGTCATTTCTATTAAGCGTTTAATCCAGTCCATTAATTTTAATTAATCTAACGGACTGGATCGAATCCTTCATCCATTATATATTCCCAAACCATACCCCACCCCCCAAGCCAAACCCTCCCCTCACCTCTTCGTCTCTGAGCTTCAGAGACCAAACGGATCCTCTGCCTCTTACTACCATGCTCCGCCCACCGGAAATCGCCTCACGGCGGTTCTGGTGGTCCAATGTCCCCATCTTTTCACCACTGATTCCCCTCGACCTCCCCATTCCGAATTCCTAACTCTTATCCCTCGAATCCCAACTGTGTGCTTCGAATATTAGATCGAAAATCAGGCCGGAACCCTATCTCATCCAATGGCCTCCAATTTCACACCACAGCTTCCCCAAGACTTCTTCGTTCCAGTCCCATACTCATTTCCCTTCGAATCAAGCCCAAGCATTTCGAATATTCATTCGAAGGTCCAAACCCTAGCGCCGCCACAAGATTCTCTGATGGCGGCGCCACCTCCCAAGCCATCCCTAACTAACACCCAGTAACCTCCTTGAATCCCTCACCCCAAATCCCACCCAGGTTCTGTCCAAATCTTGTTAGAGCCTTTCGAATTTCAGATCGAAGGCAAACCCTAGAAGAACCAGCTTCAGACTGTGTACGAGGTTAAAGGTTTGAGGTCTTAACCGACTTTAGTCGAGTGAGAACATTCGATTAAGGACCGTTTTGGCTTCAAAATTTCAAAATGAAGTGTCAATGAGAATGAGGTTCATTTGGGTTTCTGATTTTTGAGGTAATTCTCCTCTTTTCCTTTTTCTTCTTTGATTATTGTTTGTTATTTGCCTAATTAGGTTTCCTTGCTATGTTTGTCAATCAATCCTCCTCCTCGTTCGGACCTTTTTCTGGTCCAATTTTCTCATCTTGGTCGATTGGTGTATGTTGAATTTATTATTATGATTCGTCGATTTACCCGTTCATGTATATAGTTCAGTTGTTCTTCTCAAGTTATTGGTTGTTGTTTTGTCTTCCGACCTTGGTATTTTCAGCCTCAGGGCTCATAGCCAGTATACTTGTTTGTTCCAGCATTTTTGTTCGAGGTGAATTTAGAATTGTATTTGTTCCCAATATAGATAACTTACTGTCATGCATCTGTATGAATCAATTTCTTGACCTTAATAGTCCAGTCTGACTATTGTCCCGAATCATTGAGTCCCCATCTTGGTTGAAATGCTGTTGGATTTGATTTGAGTTCAGTTGCTGATTAAGTTTAATGACTTGGATCTACTTGTTAGTTCTGTTAAGTTTGTTCTGATATGAATCTGGCTTTGTTGAATTGTCCTAATGTTGTTGATTGGGAGTTAGTTTCATGTGTTTGATTAGTCAATTCTTAGGATTTCTAACTTAGTTGAATTGGTTATAGCTGATGGATTTGGTACAGATTGAAAAGGGTTGAGGTAGGATAGTAATTTCAGGGGCTTTAGGAGGGTATTTCGGGATTGAAAAGGTTTGAAAGTAGTTTAAGTTGAATGGTATGACATTAGGGTACTAAAATACCATTAAACTAATGAATTGTTTAAGTGCTAATGGGGAACAAAACATAATGGTAGGGGAAGGTTTAAAGGAAATGGATTAAGAAATAGGTGCCCATACCTATTTGAATTTAAATAAAGAAAAGACAAGGGTAGTGGGGAACAAGTGAATTAAAAAGGGAACAAAACATGTAGTAGTGGTAGAGGAATATCATGGGTAGAAAATCGGATAGTTTCAAGGCAGAGAGGGCAGGCCTGTTTTTGGGTTATAAATAGAGTCATTTTAGACAGATTGGGGGAGGATTCTGAAAATCTGAAGGGGGGGCTTTGAATCTGAAAATAGGTCAGAGTTATAGAGTAAGGTTAGGCTGGATTTTGACATCAGAAATCCAGAGTTTAAGAGTGAAATACAAGCTGAGTTTTTACGCTAAAGAGTTCAATAGGTTGAGAGCTAAATACTAAAAAAGTGAGGTCTTCTTTACTACTGAAAATCAGAATCAGTTTGTTACTGTTTAATTGAGGTTCTGAGTGTCTTTATTTGAGAATCTGAAGAACAGAAATCAGAAAATCTACTCTCATGTCTCATTTCTGAATACATTCTGTTCCTGTCTGTGAATTGCTTGGTATTTTCTGGTTTCACTCCTGGGTTTTGGACTGCTTGTGATGGGTGTTATTTCTGCTGGTTGTTGCTCTGCTCTTTGCTTTGGTGTTGTTGTGTTACATACTACTCTACTGATCTTCTTCTTCTTGTATTCCAATACCAGGTACACTACCCTGAACCACATTGATGTAAGCTCGTTGAAGTTTGAAATGAAATGTTCGAACACATTTATTGTTCAACTGAGGACTGCCTGCATTTTAATTGATAGTAGTTTAGATGTTTTCCTGTTATATAGATGGTAGTTATATGTATAATCAAAATTGTTTCTTAAGGTGGGTTATCTGTTAAACATTGTATAACATTGAATTGTTAAATTGAACCCTTGGAATGGCATGAAGTGTAGTCAGTTCAATAGGTTTGTGAAATGGGATTGTTGAATCAGTTTGGAGGAACTCGATTGTCATCAGTAATAGGTGGATCTAGATTAATATCAGGTTAAAAGGGTAATGAACCAGAAACAATTGAAGCCTTTTTTCGGCATCCCTTCTCAAACGTCTTATTCCTCAATAGGATTTCAATTCATGAGCTGATCTAGTAATATTCATCCTACTCGCTAGTAATTTTATCATTAATCATGCTAGTGTATTAGGATGTCTTCATTTGAATAACAGTTTCTGAATTCGATAGTAAGCAAAACCTGAATTGTTGTTGGTAGATTAGTGTTGAAATCAGTTAAAAGTTAGGAAAAGAAAGGCTCATTTACATTAAATCGGTTCATTAAAACCCATAGTTCGTAATAGATAATGGGTATGATAAATTGGTTTAGGAATTTTGGAGTTCATGTATGTCAATTAAAATGAAGGTATGCATTGTCATTGAGGTGCGTCATTGTTTAGTTGTTGGTTCGAACAACAAAAGCTGGGACATTGCACGCTTGTAATTAATTAGGCCTTTTTCTCTATCTTTAGAGACAAAAGTAAATAGAGAACCATAGTCGGTTTAGGATATCCTTAAAATAAACGAGGCGTGCCTCGCCTAATAAGTTGCAAACTGCGGGGCCCTCAATAGGTGCTTATGATAAACCCTTAGGTTTCGGGATATGCCGTCTTAACAAATTTCGCGGCATTCTCAAAATAATAACGCGTTAGCATCTTTAGGCGCATATTTAATAATGTTACCTCCCTAAACTCGAGTGCAAATTTATGTGACTCAAATCCAAATCTTAACGAAGTTGGAACGTATCAAAATTGCGGGTACATTTATGTGGCGCAGTTCGAGATGCATTCT